ATATTATTAAAATATAGTAATTTTAATAAATAAATTAATTAATTAAAAGAAAATAACAATCCTAGTATAGTAGTTAGATTGTTATCCTCTAAGTGGCAGATTTAAGGTTTAAATCTTACTTATAACTAAATTTGGAAATTATATTTGCATTACAGTAACTATCTCCTATCAATTGGTTGGCCTTATGTGGCTGTAATCCAGATATACCAAGTTAGTCCTATTAATATTGAGAGCTCAAAGCATCTTTGCAAAGTGTAACATTACATATATATAAAGAAATATATAACTAGTATTGCATAAAACTTTGGTGCAAACCTATGATAAGCCTTCAGATCTAGAAGACTAAGGAACTAAGATAACAGAAACTTACTTAAAAATTCTTAAGTAAAAAGATAGCATGAACTTTCAATTATATCATTATACTAGTTGAAGCCTATAAAACACCTTTATAGAAACCAAAAATTAAACTAAACATTAAATATATATAAAAGAGTATATAATCAACTAGGCTGCTAAACTTGTCAGAGAAAAAAAATACAAAAGTATACTATACCAGGCTATCTAAATTGGTAGTCTGGGAGAGACTGCAAGTTCTGAGTTGTAGCTAGTAGAATATGATGAAGAAGATGTTAAAAAGATAGGTACTGAGGTTTTAGTAAACTTTACAAAAGTAGAAATAGTATAATATAGTAGTTAAACAGATAACTCTTGTAACTACAAGTGTTAAGTAACTATAGCATATTGCATAAAACTAGGTTAGTATATATAAAACATAAAGGCTTTAATAAGTTTCTTGTTAAAGATAAAGTAGTTCTAAGAATACTGATTAGTATTAGGAACTTAAACAAGTATAGTCTTGAAGATGTTCTTATAATACAAGAAGGATTGTATATGTAAAGAGTTTAAATAGACAAGACCTCTAGTTGGCTTGCAGATATGATATCTAGTATAGAACTTATATAGTAATATATAAGCAGACTACTTAAATTAGGCATATGTGGCTAGTTGTAATCTTCAATATAAGGTAGCTTCTGGTGGCATGCTATGTCTTATATATTTGAATAAAAATATCATATTCTAAAGATAAGGACTTTAATATAAAAAAATAAATAAATAAATAAATAAATTAATTAATTAATTATCTATTTAGAAATATATAACATAGAGATGTGATAACTTAGTAAAGTAGATAAGTTGTCAATCTCTCAAATAGTAGGTTATAAGTTCAAAACTCACTAATAGTGAAAATTAAATAATCACCTATATAATATATAGACAGTATTACAATGATAGCATTCTGTCAATCAGTTAAGATAAGATACCTATAACTATAATTGCACTAGCATAACTGGCAGATTACAGAGCATCTGTGTAATCTTGGTTATACAAAAAGATGCAAACTGGTACTAGGCAGTGCAAATCTAAAATAAGTTCTTATAGTCATATAAATCTATAAAACTAAGAAACTGAAGCCTATTTGGAAAGACCTAAGTAGAAAGATAATATAGATCTTTAATAGTACTACTGTAAAGGCTAAACTTAAAAAATGAATACCAATATAAAAAAGCTGAATAGGCAAGAACCTTAAGATAAGAGGTATTACCAATTAGGCTACTGAAACTGAACTGAAAAAAAAGAATATCAGATTAGCTTGATATATCAAGAACAGATTACAGTCCTACTGAACTATCTGAATTGGAAATCTAAAGTCAAAACAATGATATACTATAAGCAGTGTTGTTATAAGACAGTTGTAAACATAAGTTTAAACACTTTTAGACATTTTTAAATAAATAAATTAAATTTGCTCAAAATTTTATTTTTTTATTTTTTTTTTAATATTAAGATAACCTTTTTAATCCTAACTTTTTATTAATACTTATATTGAGTATATGTTTTATATAGATATATCTATAATAAACTATCAGACAAGTGTACAACTAGTTATATACATAACTTTTTTATATAAATATTTAAGAAGTTCATCTAAAGGTTTTTTACCAGTTGTCATATCTAATAACTCTACTTAGATGTTTTATTTAAACTTTTTAATTTGACTCTAGTATTAATTTTACTAGATTACAGATCCAGATCTATTTACTTTTAACTATAGAACTATAATCCTTAGGCTATTTTTATCTTCAAGATAAACCTATTAAAGTGTACTATATTTCCTTTTACTACTAATCTGGTTTAATGCTATAGCTAAGACTAATATTTGCAGTTAAGATTACTTCTTAAACTACTATTATTCTTATAAAGTTTATTCAAATCCTGATATATATTTTTTTGACTTCTTCTTTATTATTTCCTACTAGCTGCAACTTGAAACTAACAAACTCTCTAGACTTCCAATCCAGATGGCTTAATATAGTATACTTATATATCTTTTTTCTTTGTTGATTCTGGCAGCCTAGTTGGTTATATGCTTCTCTATACATCTTGTTATCTGGTTTATTTAACAGTTCTTATAAAGGTGTTTTATAGGTTTCTATTAGTTCAACAGCATTATCAAAAGTTTGTGCTATCTTTTTACTCAGAATTTCCAAGTAGATTTCTGTCTTCTCAGTTTTTTAGCCTTCTACACCTGGTGGTCTTATTATGAATTTGCACTAAAGCCTTATACAATACTGGTTTTTTATATTCCTTTATATATATATAATATTATATTTTGTATAAATATCCTGAGTTCTTAAAATCAGATAGAACCTGGATTGGTATACCTAAGATTACAAATACTCAAAACCCAACTAATTGACAAGAAATAGTTATTATAATACAGATATAATTTCCAAAATTTGTCATCTATGAGAATTGAACCTTAGACCTGCCATTTAAGAATTGACAACCTATTTACTTCACTAGGTTGCCACATCCTGATCAAAATTTTATTAAATTAATCTATTTTAACTTTCTAAATAAAAATATTCAGTACTATAAAAATATATAATTATATATTTTTTAAATTAATATATTAATTTTTAAAGCTTGTATATATTATGGACATTCTTGAACATTTGAACATTTAAATATTGAACATGATTAAAAAAAATCTTGGATATAGTAGATGTAACAACACTGCTATAAGTACTAAGGATATGCTATGAAGTAAATACTAGGGTTTAGATGAACTTTACAAGGACTAGTCTTGTTAATGTTTCATAAAATAAATAGTTAGTTAATAAGAGAATATTCTGAAATCTTACAGTCAGATGGCATACTCTGAAGTATGTAATAAGTTAATAGATATACAAAAGAGAAAGGCTAAATGTTGAGCTAGATGGTACTTAGTTGTATAAAAACTAGGTGTTACTTGTCTAGGTGCAGTATAAGGATCAGAGTATTTAAATAAGCATTCTTCTAGTAGGTTACAAGTATGACAACTAGTGTAAAACCTTAGGTAGACTACTTAAATAGGTAACCAAATGTGTGACTAGTTGCATACCTTGTATAAGTCATATATAATGCATTGACTAAAACACAAATAAAAATAATAACTATCAATAACAGTAGTCTTGAACAAAAAAAAATATATATATATATATAACATATATTTAATTCATTTTTACTTGTTAAAACTATATTAAATAAAGTTAATATTAAGAAAACATTTAATTACAACCCAATATAATGTTGTCAATATACTAATTATTTGCATTGTTATATATAAAAAATACTTTTTTCTACTAAAACTAGATAAAACTTCTGATTTAAGATAATTTTATATACTAAAAGTTATCTTATTTACTGGCCTAAATTTTTTTAAAATAAAATTGAATATGATGAAACTGAAGCTTTAAGACTTATTTGGTTTTTTTTTGGATTTATATTAATTTAGTTTAATTGCAATATATATTAATTTTATTAGCATATTTTCTAAAGAGTTTATATTTACTTTAACTTTTTTCAACAAGAAAAATCTATAATTTCTTATGTTGAAGGGCAGACTTCAACAACTTACAAATTTTATTAAATCAAATATAAAAACTACATATTTTAATTTACAAATAGATAAAATTATTACTAGAAATGGTTTTCAACTATCTGAATTCTATCTGATTTTTCAAAATACTTTTGCTAAAGCCTATTTAAAATTTGCAACACATATTTCTTCACATTCTGATAAGACATTTTTTAATGCTTAACAAATATTTAATCCAAAATTTATTTATATAAGAAGAATTAGTCAAAAAAATCTATGATGTTATGAAATTATTTCTGAATTAAGTAATCTGCCAGATGTTCTAGTAAATGAATAGGCAATTTATTGCAATTTACAGGATGATATAGATGTTGAAGAAATTGACTTAATTGACAATTCACGATAGAAAGAGAATAAAAACCAGAGGAGATTTTTATAATAAAATAACTAAGTTTACCGATCTTACTATCATTAGAATCGCAAAAACTAACTCTACAACTTTCATTAGATGACCAAAAAATGTTAGATTAATAAAAATTTAACTTCAAATAGTCAGGAATGCTGATTTCTATATTTTATATATAACGTTATAGATTTTATTAATACAAATTCTCCTTCTTTCGTGAATTGTCAATTAAATGAATATTGGTTAAAAGTTGGTAAACAATTACCACTTTTATCCCAAATCGCTCTTGATTACATTTGGTTACCCATTTCTTCATACAGTGTAGAGCGAAGCTTTTCAAAATACAATACAATTCTAGATAGCAATCGGCAAAATTTATTAGAAGACTCTTTAAAATGTTTAAATATGTTGTATTTTAATGGTAAAATTAGTGATTAAATCTTTATTATTTTATTATAATAAAAAAGTTTAAATCACAGAATACATATTTTTTATATAATACGTATTTATCACGGAAAATGTGCAGAAAAGGCAATTTTTAATGCACGGAATTTTTGCAGAATTTGGCACTGGGGTAGTTATTTTAATTGCCTGCCAATCACAAATACAGATTTGTGTCGCGACCTGAGTCATAGTTCGTTCTTTTGTTGTGTAGCTTTAAACTTGACGACAATGGCTACTTCGCAATCTACTCTTCTTCTTCAAAAACAACTCAACGGTATTATCAAATGCAAACAAACCTTGTATGAAATTTCAAATTCTAATATTTGTTTTGAAATTTGTTTATAGAATTATTAAAGCATCCTGTTGAAGGCTTCTCCGCGGGACTTGCTGATAATGATATTTACGAGGTAAAAAACTATCTGGTGACTCGTTTTAACTCTTTTGATCTGAAAAGTTAACTTATAACTTTTCTCTATAAAGGTATGTGTCTTAACTCATTTGTGTTTTTTGTGTTTTAATATTTAAGATAGAATGCCTAATTCTGGTATTCTTTATTCAAAAGTGGGAGATCATAATCATTGGTCCACCAGATACTTTATAGTAAGTAATCCCTTATAAATTTGTTCATCTCATACTTGTTAAAGTGTAAATCGGTATAATAATTAATATCATTTAATATCCACAGCGAAGGTGGTTTCTTTAAAGCAAGGATGACTTTTCCAGATGCATGTTGATTTATTGTAGTGATCATTCAGTATAAATTCTCGTTCCGCACATGTATAAATGTTATGACATTGCCTTATTAGGACTATCCCTTGATGCCTCCAAAACTGAGATTTGTTTCTGACATGTGGCATCCAAATGGTACGTGATACGACGTGTATCGTTACAAAATAGCGAATTTTTAATCTCGCATTTTGATTTTCTTTATTATAGTATATCCCGATGGCGAAGTGTGCATTTCCATTTTGGTATTATCTTAGTTGACATATTAGATGTTGTTGATCAATTGTATTTAAATGCTTATTATTCCGCTTTTCTTTAGCATCCTCCAGGCGAAGATAAGTATGGGTATGAAGATGCTGGTGAAAGATGGAGACCTATTCATACAGTTGAAACTATTTTATTGAGCGTCATTTCAATGCTTTCGAGTCCTAATGATGAGTCACCTGCAAACATTGAAGCTGCCGTAAGAATTTATTTAAACTTGCATATTCAATTTTATTTTTTTCAAAAAACAGACCTCATTAAACAAATTTTATTATTTACAGAAGGAATGGAGAGAAAATTATCCTGCATTCAAAAAGCGCGTTCAACGTATAGTTCGAGATTCCATAGGTTAACTTGAAATTCTGGCCTTAAGATACAATAAATCATAATACGATACCATTTAGACAAAAAGTTTTGTAGTATTAATTTGCTATCTAATAACTTATCTTATTTTTGGCGGTGGACGCATTCTTTTATAATAAACGTTCAAAATATTATAAAATAAAAATTTTTATTAAAATTTGGATTAGATCATAAATTTCTTGGTTTTTATAATAAAAATTTCAAAACAGATCCGATCGACTTTTTTAAAAATTTAAATTTAAAAAAGAGAATTCTATTTGTATCCGGTGGGTATATGGGGGGAGTCAGTAAAAATGGACAAATTTATCTAATAAATTTGTCCCATTTCTACTGACTCCCCCCATATACTCGGGTATAAAAAAACAAAAAATCATTAAATATCTCAAAATTTAAGAAAACTTGTATATATGCTTTTAGTAAAAATGTTTAGCACTGAATTTAACATGTAAATACATCTTTATTTTTTAACCTAATATGTTATATTTATTTTTTTATACTGGGTATCATTTCTATAGATAATTTTAGATAATTTTTATTGTTTATAAATGTTAAATTTAAAAAATTTTTTTTTTTTTTAACTATCCCAGATGATATCATCGTGGGGTGCGTGTGGCGATCTTTTTATTAATTATGACTACTAAGTTATTATTTACATATTAAAAGAGTTACTAAACTAAGTATTTGTAGATTTTTTTATAAATAGGTTTGACAAAGTTTTTGTCACATAGTAGACTGATCTCTTTGGAGATTCTGTTTCTTGCTATAGTTAAAATTGCAGATCCTGAATATTGGATGTTTCTTCATTTGAAAATGCATAACAGCATCAGATTTCATATACAGTATGCATGTGTAGCCATAAGATAGTCTTATTTGTTTTTGTTTTTTCTGTAATGTTTTTCAGAAATATCTTTTCTAATAAGTTTGGTATAGATTTAGTTTGACTTGTTTTTAGAAATTTGTATATTTTTATTTAAATTTTTTTACTAATTTTGATTCTATTGCAAAGTATTTAATAGTTTATATATTTTCTAAATATCAAAAATGTTCATCTAAGTCTGTTGTTACAAAATAATAAAGTCTGTATTTTAGTAGTAAGGTTCTGTGAAAGAGTCATTAGAAGATGTTTTTTTTTCTGTTAAGTATTGTTTTTTGAAGAATCTAATTGTTGTTTTATGTTTGCTTTATAGAATTTGGTTGGTTTATAATTTTGAAATTATAGTTTCTCAAAAGTTCTATCATAAATTTGATTGTTATTTCTGGTCTTTTTTTCTTATCTATATTTAGTTTTGTAAGGTTTTAAAGTCAGTTAGATTTTATTTTATTTTATTTTATTTTATTTTTTTTTAACTTTGGCAGTCTTATCATTCACCTTTATTAAGTATTTAATATACATTTAGTATATACAGTTATACTTAAAATTTGGTTCGACATCCTTTGGCTACTTCAAGAGTGCCTAGAGGCAGTCTGCTACACCAGTTGGGAAATTATCTAGATCTGGGAGCTATACCAAACTAGTCTTTTAGGCCATAAAAAAAGGGCCTTATATTATTATTAACAAAATTTCTAACTAATTCTAGCTATAACTCTTGTATTCTATTATTATCTTCCTCTTTTTTCTTCATTTTTCCTTCTTTCTGAGCTAGAGTTTGCTTGTTTGACTTTGCTGCTCTCGACTCTTTAGGTATACTTGTTTCTGTTGTTTTCTGTATTTTCTCTTTTCTTTTGGACTGATTTCTAGTTCTTTTTTCCAAATAACAACTGCCTTATATCATTTCTTCTATATATTTTCATAAAAACTATTTCATGCCATGCTGTATTTACTAATACATGCAAGAAATCTTTTGCCTCTGTCAATGTTTGTGTCAGTTCTTAAATCAGTTTTGTAGCTTTTTCATGAATTAATCTCTTGATTATTTTATATCTACTTTCTTTCTTTTCCTTTTCTGTTTTTCCCTATATAATTTCTTTAAGTTTTTCTTTATCTAAGTTTTTCTGTAATTCTTCTGTTAGTGCTAATCATGCCAGGTTGGTTGAGGTTTCTTTTATATTTTGTCAACCTTTTTCATGATTGCTACATATTGCTAAATGCTCTTGGTCTTCCTTTTTTCTTCATTGTACAGAATACAACATAGGCTTGTATAAATATCTGGATATCACTCTGCTAGTGTTTTTAGCAGAGGTAATTTTTTATTTAAGCACTTGATCAATGTTCCAATTTGCTTGTTTCTTTTCATACTTGTACATTTTACTCCATTTTGATTTTTAATTTTTTTTTATAATAGTAACCAATTGTGCTCTTCTGTCTCGTTGTTTGGTTCTAACTTCTTTATAACTAATGAAAATCTCCATTTCACATCTATTTTAAGATCGAGAACATTCTTTAAAAATTGTTTTATTGGACCTTCTATTGCATTATCTTCCCAATATAATGAAACATTTCCAATTTGTAATATCTCTTTAACTATTCTATCTCTATTTTCTAAGCTACTACCTAATTTTGTTAAATTATCTGCTAAGTTATTCTATTTATTATTACTATGATCTTTGACTTTGACTAATTCTAATTGTAACTTTTTGAGTTTTATAATTTCTATTATGTTTCTTTTTACATCATAGTTCTTTTCTCTAAGTCATTGTTTGTTGAACTTAATTTTTAGTTCTCTATTTATTTCTGCTATTGCTGTTGCACTATCTGTATATACTTTAATTTTACTATTTTTGAGTGTAATTAAGAGAACTCTCCAAATTGCTAACAATTCTGGCTTGGTTGATGATGGCCAGTTTTGCACTTTAAAGTAATCTTTGTCAAGTTTTACTTTTTCATCCTTATCTACTTGCATTTAACTAACACCCATTTTGTTGTCTCAAATTCCTTTTCTCAAACTAGATCTTTTGAGAGAGCCATCTGTATAAAAGAACAAATTTGTATAGTTTTCTATTTGGTTTTTGTGTAATTTACTATTCAGTTCTTTCTTTAACTTCTTGCTTATATTTTGCTTCTGAATTAGCTCTTCTTCTTATGTAAGGCATACTATCTTTTCAATTTAACTTTTCTTTATTATTGATTCCTCATATTTACAATTCTCTTTTATATTAATCATTTCTTTCTTGACCTCTAATTTTCAATTTTTAGCTCTTTTTTTCACTAGGTTCATCAAGGCTCCTGGCACTGCTGATTTGTTATCTATTTTTTGCATTCATTTAGTATTTTCTTTTTATTTATCTCACAATCTTTGCATTTTTTAAGTATTGGTCTTAGGTCATTTTTCTTTTATTCTATATTCCAATGCTCTGTGAGAATCTTTTCATGTTTATTTATGAGTGTTCTTTCAATCACAAGATTTTTACTTTCTTTTTTTTTTGAACATTTTAGTATAACCTAGTCTTTTCTTTTTTTGTCTTCAGATAGTTTTGCCAAACCGATCTCCAAAGCATCTATATTTGGTGTTTGTATGTTAAAAATTAGCTTTACTTTTCTTGTTTTAATATCTTTAATTATTTCTTTTTCTATTATTTTAAATCATTTGGCCACTTTTTCTTTACTTGAGCTATCTCTTAGAACTTTGAATTGCTGCCATGTAATCATTTGATTGCCAGTTTTGTTGATTAACTGTTCTATATAAAAAATGTTTAGTTTTCTTAAAGCTGTTGCTGCTTATACTATGAATTTTTCTCTAAGTACTTCTACTATTTTTTGCCTATTTTGCTCACAAATATTATTTGAGTTATTAAATCTAAATGTTATTTGCATGTCTTTTGCTTTTAGCATTATATAACATACTAGATTATTTTTCCAAAACTTGTTACATATGCTCAATAAATTTTTATGCTAATTATTTTCTGATGCTCCTATGTATGCTAATTCTTGGCTTATCTGAATTCTGGTTAGCATTTTCTCTGGGTCTAATGAGCCTAAATGGTTGTGTAAACTTGTAATTTGTTTCATCAGTAATTGATTCTATAGTGAGTTGCAATTGTCTAAATTTCTGTATAAAATTACACTAGTTTCAACTGTTCTTGCTATCTCTAACTTATTTTTTGCTAATCTTAGGATTGGACTGTATATTATCTATCATCTTTTTTGCAAACTTGGTTACTTGCAACATATAATTAAGCTTTGGTACTATGTACATATTGTTTATATATGCCACTTATGCAATAGTCATTTTCTTTCCTCTTAATCCTTCTACAGTTGATCATATTAATTCCTTTGCTTTTGCTTTCATTATTGTTTCTTTTAGTTTATTGTTTAGCCAAATTCCAAGGAATCTTGTTATTTTATTTTTGTTTTCTTTATATATTCATTCATTACTGAGTTTAATTCTTCTGTTTTCTTTAGTTTCTTTCGAGTTCATAATTAGTAATTTATATTTTTTTTCATTTATTTGTATATCATTAAATTTGAAGAACTCTTCTGCAATTTCGATTGTTTGTTCCATTTGCTCTTTACTTTCTGCTATTCAGATTATATCATCTGCGAATGCTACTATAGCTTGTCTCTATTTTATCTCTGTTGTATGATTAAGCTTTTGATTATACAGTAACCTTACTAATGCTATATATTCCAGACTAGTATCCTTTTGTATATGCTCTAATAGTGGATTATAAAATATTCTCCATACCAGAGGTGACAGAACCTCACCTTGTTCAATTTCATTCTGGATTTGGAATGCCTCTGTGTGTCTCTAATGTGTAATGATCTTTGATTCTCTATTTGTAAACAAGTTTAGAATTAGCTTGATTGTTGTTTCTGGTAGTTTAATTCTTTCTATTACCAGTTTTAATATTGTGAGTGATACTAAATCAAATGCCTTTTTCATGTCTTGAAACACCAACCAGAGCTTCTTATTGTTATCTTTTGCATCTTCCATTATTATGTTTATAATATGAACAGGCTCTTCTGTTGAGTTTCCTGGCAGGCCTGCAAAGTTTGGGCCTTTCATGATACTTTTCTTGCAGAAAACACTTATCAATCTTTTAGTCAAAACTT